TTCCAGCGGCGCGTGTTCCTGCTGCTGTGCCTGACCGGTGTCACCTTCGCCTTCCTCTTCGTCGGTGTGGTCTTCCTGGGCAGCCAGCCCGACTACTATTGGTGTCGTGGGCCGCGTGCCACGGAGCTGGCCGAGCGCTGCGCCTGGAGCCCCGAGGAGGAGTGGAACCTCACAGCACCGGAGCTCCGCGCTCCGGCCGAACGCCGAGGCCAAGGCCACTGCCACCGCTACCTGCTGGAAGCCACCAATGCCAGCACTGAGCTCAGTTGCGACCCACTTGCTGCCTTCCCCAACCGCTCTGCGCCCCTGGTGCCCTGCAGCGGTGACTGGCGCTATGTGGAGACCCACTCCACCATCGTCAGCCAGGTAAGTGTGGCTCTGTGCTCCCTCTCGCTGCCACACTGCAAATGTGAGAAGGTGGCCACCAGACTAGGTCTCTAGAGTCTCGGTGACTTAGAGACACCCACCCACGCCAGATGAGCACCCTTAGGAACCCACCAGGTTTCAGCTCATGCTTGCAAGTACTGCATTGCAAATACCTGAGAACGCCTTTTGTTTCTGTCCCTGTCCTAAGGAATGGCTTCAGGTAAAAAGGAAAACTTTCCTAGAAGCCAACTGAGAGACACTTTACACACACACACACACACACACACACACACACACACACACATGCCTTCACGGTTGTCACTGAGGTGTGTTGGCACAGTGATTGGAGATTATGGGTCCCATCTTGACTGGGGACTTCTTCAGGCGAGGTTGAACTATGTTGGCACATCCGGGTTGGCTTATCTCTAGGCGGGTGCGGGAGAAGGGGAATCGGCTTTCAAGACTTGAAGATGGGGCAACGTTTTTCCAGTGCTCAGAAGATTATCTGAAAAGCACAGGACAAAGGTCGAGGCTCTCCCGGGCAATAATTTTGGTAAAACTGCTTTGAGGACAAAGAACAGCAATTTAAGAGAAGTTGGGAAAGCTGGGATATTGGAAAAGAGTTTACGGTTTTTCCTGCTAGTAAATGATAGGAACGCTCGGAAGCAGTCCATGTGACTGCTGGGGCAGAAGAGAAGGCAATTCCCACACTTCTCTCTCTCTCTCTCTGTCTGACTCTGCACCCTTCAGCACCATGAGCTAGGAGGCTGTGCTTTGCATGCTTTTGGTCAGTTCAGAGCCTGCTTCAGAGACATCTGCTTCACAGGCACTAACAACTCCACTGAGTTTTGCCTAAGTCATAGCTCGACTTAATCTTCATAAGATGCTTGATTGTACTCAGGTAAATGGAGGAAGGAAAATTTGTTATCTCTTAGTTCGTGTCCAAACCACTTGTTTAGACAACAAGGGGAATACCAGGAGGCAGGAATGCCTTCTCCATAGTTTCTCTTTCCTTGGTGGTCATGTCTCAAGTTGGGCTATAGCTCCTTGAAGCTGTTCTTTCCTGTATGACATTATGGGGATATGGTAGCCTACTCAGTGAAGTTCCGGAGATCGTGTCTCAAAGATCACAAAGTTATCCCCTGACTTCCTCATGCACACACATGCATGAACACATTGGAATACACATGCACCCTCCTCCAGTGTGCATGCATGCTCACGTGCACACACACATTCCATTAAAAAGCCTTCAAAACAGAATGCAACCTACTCTAGAAAGACTGACATAAATAAGGTGATCCTTGGACACCCAAGAAGAAGCCATAAAAATCTGTATGCAAATACTCTGACTGGTTCTTCAGGAATTTGCTGGGGTTCCAGGGTTGATGGAACTTTGTCGGGTGATTGACAGTTCTTAAACACGGCACAGAATGGTAGGAAGTCAGGAGCTGGTCCCGACAGGGTCTCTAGGGGGCTATGTGCCTACAGTCTGTCAATTAACTTCTTCAGCCCCGATTTCTCATCCTATGCATGCCATTATTGTCACTGGGAGGTGACATCTCAGTGTGCACAGAACAGTGGTCAGACTTCTTCAAGGGCAAGCTAAAATGTTACTTAGGCTGCCTGCCTTAAAGCTGTGGATGAGGTTATGAAACCTACTGGCAAGATTTCCTTGTCAAATTCCAAATAAATTTAACCTCTTGTGGCTCTCTTCCATGCATCAACTCTCAGGAGGAACTCCCCATGTCTTTCCCAGAAGCCTCGCCACTGAATCCCACAGAACCTCCCAGGCTTCAATGTGCTATCTTTCATTTAGAATATGAATGAATTAATTTCTGTTATATCAGAGACTATCAAAGTGATAAACAAAACTGTGGTTTTGGTTTGGCTGTTGTTACAAACTGAGTATATTTCCAGAGACCTAATGTTGGAAGAGGTGGGAAGTGGTACTTGTGAGGGGAGATATGATTGTCTTAGCTTTGTAGAAGGGAGAGCTAAGGCTGGTGATGTTAAAGACCCTGCCAGAGTCCCATACTGTCATGGAGGTTGCTACAGGTCAACCTTAGTTCTCTGTTACTATGGTGGTCCTCTAGTCAATGTGCCCTTTGTTTCATTTGGTGGTACTGGGAACACATCCAGCCAGACTGGCTGCTGGGGAAGCTGGGACTTAATCTGGTGCAATGTGAACAAGGTAAACTGGTTGCTTAGAATGCATCCACCCTTGCCATAGCTTCATAACAACTAGAAGGAACTCCAAGGAGCTAAGTCAGGAGCGACTGTCAATTGTAGGGCTGTTCCAAGCTATCTCCTTACTCAAGGGGATTTCCTACCTATGCTGAACTCCTCAATATGGACTTTGCTGTGTGCCTCAACCTCATCTGCTTGTTAGATATGGAGTGCAACCTTGATGGAGTGCAAACATTGAGTCAGAGCCCTTACCCACTAGATGTTTCAAATCTTAAAGGCTAGGGAGGTAGCCTTTAAGATTGATGGTGGGATTCCAGGAAGGAGTAAAAGACTAACTTTCTACATCAAGGTGCCTTCAGACACATAAACAATTGCTCACCTGTCACTTTTCTTCTGAAATAAAAGGGAGGTCAGGGATATGGCTGATCTATTGGAGAGAGTGCTGGTTGCTTTGTTTTCAGGCTTCCTCTTTATCCCTCAAGTGCCTGTTTTGATTCCTGCACAATTGTCCTCAGACATAGACCAATTAGTTAGGGGGATCCCCCATAGTGCCAACCTAATGCTGTCCCTCCCTAAGGGTCTGCAAAATGTGTTACTGAGCTATTGTTTGAATTGTGTGTGTTGGAGAAGGGTGTTAGCCAAGCCACAATTCTGGCCTAGGCAGGGTCTCAAATTTGCTATTGGCACTTAAGAAGGAAGTATTGGGGCTGGAGATATGGTCCAATGGTTAAGGGCACTGTCTGTTCTTCCAGGGAATCCAGATTCAATTCCCAGCACCCACATGGCAGCTCACAACAATCTGGAACTCCAGTTCCAGGGCATCCAAATCCCTCTTCTTACCTCCATGGGTACCAGGGATGCATGTGGTGTGCAGACACACATGCAGGCAAAATACCCATTTAAAATGCCTAAAAAGAGTGTATTGCTGTATTGTTTGAATGTATAGTGTCATTTGTGTCTTCCCTCATTTTTGCTGAATTAGCTTGATTGTTGGAGTATCTGTTAACATTATTTATTTAAATACTCAATTTGGGCATCATTTGTTTTCCACTTCATCATTTTCTCCTCTTTCCTATGTGTTAGTGTGTTTTACCCAGGTTAAGTTGGATCCTCAGCTCAAATTTTCTAGCCTGTTTTTTTTAATAGTGTAAATATTTAAAGCTACACATTTGCTTCTAAGGACTCCCTTGGCTGTACTTCCAACAAGCTTTTAAATGAGTAGTTTTGAAAGTAGTGCCTAGATTCAGTCTGTGAGCAAATATAGATGCATGTTATTGTCTGAGCTGCATCTATATATAGAACAAAGGATGCCTCATAAAATGTTGTGTGCCTCATTGAGTCTAAGCACCAATAAACAACCATATTTCCTTGCCTAGCTCATATCTGGGGAGCAGGATCAATGCTGTTTGTGGTAACTGAGCCACCTTGACAAGAGTTTAATTCAGCATACACTGATTGTTTACTGTGCAGCCACCAGTCCCACAGGAGATGAGTGAGAATTCTAAGGGTTCTGAGGAATGGAATTTTTATCAGCAAGGAGCTTTTTCTTGCTTTTGTTTAAAAAAAAATGATGAGACTAAGCTAGGTGAGTTAGCACACACCTGTAATCCCAGGTACTTGGGTCTGATGTAGGAGAATCACTTGTGCCCAAGAGTTTAGACACAACAGCAAAGCTCCATCTTAAAACATAACATAAATCACACTGACATGTCCACAGCCTCATGTCCAGTGCCCACTGGAAGAATCACTCTTTAAAACCACGTTGCATCTGTCGTCTTCTTCACTCAGGCTTGGCAGCAGGTACCTTTACACATCGATCCATCTCACTGGCCTTGAAGGAAACCTTCTTAGACTATTTAATCAAGCTGTCTAATGTCCTGGCATAAAAACACAAATGCAAGTAGTTATTATGAAATAATAAAGATGGCCATGCTTGCTGACTGTGATAACACAGAGCTGTAATCTCTGTTTGGGGAGGCTGAGGCAGCTCAAAGATCAGGAATTCAAGGCTAGTCTGGTTACACAGCAAGACTCTAAAGACTCTATCCAGAGGGAGGGATGGAAGAAGAGAGACAAACAGAGAGAGAGAGAGAGAGAGAGAGAGAGAGAGAGAGAAAACAAATTTAAAAATAGGCATTGGTATGGCCTAGGAAGCAGTTTGGTAACTTACATCTATGTACAAAGGCTCCTAAGTAGACTAGTCTTTCAGTGGTTCATGAGCTGCCCTAGCATGCTGGTGGCTGTATTCCTACAATGCAGAAGGTGGAAGAAGGGAGGTTATTAATTGGAGACCTGGATATACAGTGAGTCTCTGCCTCAAAGCAAGAAAGCAAATAAACAAAAACAGAAGAAAGAGAAGGGGAGAGAAGAGAACTCAAGCAAAGGGAAGGGGAGAGGGAGGGATGGGAAGGGATAAGAAAGGAAGGAAAGTATCCTGGAGACACATCCCTTTAGGTACAATGACTTCAAAGCCTCCAGTGTTGCTGCAGTTAATGAAATGAAGGAGCCTAGCCGGTTATCCGGAACATGTGTTTGAACACAGGTACTTTTCTTCACATAGACAAGTTGATTGAAGGTTATAGGAGGAACTAAAAATTCAGTCACCTCTCAACATATAAATTCCCACACGTGAGAATGTATAGTGAACTTGTTCTAAGAGGATAAGACTGCAAAAAAGAGTGAAACAAAGAAAAGTTAAAGCATTGAGAAAAGCCATTCTCTGCCGGCGAGGCAATCGGAGCCTCTACCCCACTGCTCTTGTGTTCCCACCAGCTCCTCTCTGATGTGGGGAGGATTTCCATCCTTGTCATCTT